CTGCCCTGCCTCACCCCCATTCTCTCTGATCTCTCATCCCATCTCCCACCTTACTCTGATACTGCCCTGCCTCACCCCCATTCTCTCCTCACTTGCTTTTTACCAGATGATCAGACTGACACATCTCAGGGGACACAGATATTACTCAGACATCCGTCAGAACTACGTGACTGAAATAGCCTAGTTCATGCACAATTTGGTCAGGTGGCGGGCACAGCATCAAAAGCCCTTCCCAGCCACTGCCAAGACAGGGCATCTTACAGAGGGGCATCACCGTCCCTCTGCTTCCCCACTGCCGACAACACCTCTGCTCAGTGCAGGCCACTGGGATATGAGACCTGCCCCTTACTGCCTTCACACTCAGAGTTCACACTGGGTCTCTCCTCCTGAAGCAGAGAGTATCCTGGGCTAACCCTGGGATGCTGGCCAGTTAAGTCACCTCCTGTCCTGCTGATGGTATCACAATGTGACAGATGCCACCTGCCTCAACATTGCCCTCCCTGCACGGCCCTCCCAGGCACTAGGAGGGCAGTGCCCATCCACCAAGGCCCAGCCTGCCTGGCCACGCTGCAACCCACCACTTGGTCCTACTCCTGCCCCAGCTTCCTCAGAAGCCATTCTCTCTTCCTAAAGTAGCCCACCTCTGTTGACTTCAAATGGTGGTCAGCACACAAGATAAGCCTAAAACCCACTCCCCAAATGCTGCTCTTCCCTCCTCACGGACAGGACATGGTCCCTATCACTTCGTCTGCACATGCGGCCAAGATGATCAACAAATGTGAACAACAGTCTGGGTTCAGTGGCTCACACCTGTAATTCCAGCACTGTGGGAGGCGGAGGTAGGAAGATCCCTTGAGCTCAGGAGTTCAAGACCAGCCTGCACAAGAGCAAGACCCCATCTCTACTAAAAATAGAAAAATTAGCCGGACACTGTGGTGGATACCAGCAGTCCCAGTTACTAGGAGTGATCCTTGAACTCAAGAGTGTGAGGTTGCTGTGAGCTAGGCTGCCACAGAACCTTACCCAGGGTGGTAGAGGGAGACGCTGTCTCAAAAAAAGTGAATGGCCTTCCATGGGGGGCCACCTCTGCTGGGTCTCCAAACATCCTGCCACAGCCCTTAAGGGACATGACTTAACTCCATAAATAATGTGAATTTCAAGGGTTACATACATTTTAAGAAAATATTCCTAAGTGATTTTAAAACAACAATTATCTTTCTGGTTTACTTCTCTGGTTTTGAGACTTACTTTGATAAAGTAGTGACTTTAGACAATTAATCTCAATAAGTAAAAAATGAGCTTACAATATTCTAAAAGTAAAAATTCAAAAATCGAACACCTTAAAATAAAAAGTTAATTACATACTCCTTCCTTACTGGGTCCTTAAAAAAAAGGTTTTTTAAAGATTAAAAAATAATTAGAGTTCATGGGACCATACAATAAGAGATGTCACAGGTTGTGTTAAAATCAGTTTTAATGACACACGCTTTGCATGCAACAAAGGCATACTTTGTTTTTTTTTTTTTTGCAGTTTTTGGCTGGGGCTGGGTTTGAACCTGCCACCTCCAGCATATGGGGCCAGCACCTTACTCCTTTGAGCCACAAGTGCCACCTGCAAAGGCATCCATTTTAAGTGTAACTTTTCACTTTCCCAATCCAACAGAGATGACCTCAGAGTTTAACCACCGCAGGCAACCATGGTCCTATCTCCGAGGTTTCTGAGGGCACTGCACTGTTGCCTGCCCCGCCTCCAGCTCCCTGAACGCAGCAGATGAGATGCCCACCCACATTCATCTCACTGACTCTCCCGGGAGCAGCCATAGCCCCTCCCCAGACTCCAACCTGCCTGCACCTTCTACCAAACCACACTGCTTTCCCAGAAGGCTCTTCTGAGGATCCCAGGAACTGAAAGAAGTAGTAATTTCAACAACTGTCACTAGTTGAATCCTGCTATATACCAGGAACTGTGTAGGGCCATTTTACATTTAAGCTTCTCAGAGACAATATGTTGTTAATCATGCAATGGTTTTGTTTCTTTTTTTTTTTAACGTACTCCACCAATGTCTTTTAACTTTTTATTTAGACCATCCACATTTAGAGTAATCACTGATGCATGAAGGCTGAAATTGGTCATTTTATTATTTGTTCTGCTTATTGTTTCTTTTTCTTCTGTTTCTCTTTACTTGACTTTCTAGATTACTTTTTAGAACTTTTTAGAATTGATTTTAATGTGTTTACAGTATTTTTGCATGCATCACTCTGTATGGTCCTCCTGGACACTGCTCTGGGTTTTACCAGACATGTGGAACATACCACAGTCTCTATGGTTTGCCAGTCTTTCTGTTCTATTCAGGACTTCCACTGACTGCATGAGACCCGTTCACACTATGGAAGGCAATCTGCTTACTCAAAGTTCAATGATTTAAACATTAATCTAATTTCACCTAAAAACACTCTCCGACTTAACATAAAAGATTAACCACCACACCCTTCTCCTCTCTGCTTTCTGAGGTTCCCAGTCTCCTATTTCACCTCCTTTCTATTTGGAGAACTTCTACTGATCTCTAAGGGCAGGTCTGCAGGTGATAAACTCAGTTTCCCTTCATCTGTGAAGGTCTTTATTTCCCCTTCATTCCTGAAGAGTAATTTCACC